CTACTCTTTTTACAGCCAAATGCTTTCCCCCTCTATCTTCCATCCAACTTCAATTATTACATAAGGAAGTGACTGAGGATGAAATCAAAAGTGCTGCCTTTGATATTAGAACCTTCAAATCTCTGAGACTTGATGGTATTAATGTTGGTTTTATTCACTCTTATTAGGATAACATGAAGGATAACATTTTCAATCTTGTTAAAAGAGTGTTTAAAGAGCTAGATTATATAAGACAGGTTAATGACACCTTCATCACTTTAATTCTTAGGATTGATCACCCTACTTGCATGAAAGACTTCCGTCCTATTTTTCTATGTAATGTCAGTTACAAAATTATCACCAAAATCCTCTCCTTGCACTTATGTGATTGCAAGAACCATCTTATTGGTGATTATCAAAGTAGCTTCATACAAGGGTGGCAAAGTAGTGATAATATTATTATTGCTCAAGAAATCATCCACTCTATAAGAAACAAATCTAGGAAAAAAGGCTACATGGCTCTCAAGGTGAACATCAAAAAGACTTTTAATAGATCATCCTAAAATTTTATTGACAATACTCTCAACTCTATTAGGATAAATAGTCACTTCAGGAAATTAATACAGGTGGCTATCTCCACTACGAGTTTGAGAATTTTATGGAATGGCAAACTTTTTAAAGAATTCAATCCTTCTCAAAGCATTCGTGGGGGAGACCCTCTTTCACCTTACCTTTTTGTTCTTTATATTGAACGATTAAGTCATTGCATTCTAGATAGCATTGATAACAATGAATGAAAACCAATTAAGCTAACACCTAATGGGCTCCCTATTTCTCATCTTTTTTTCATTGATGATTTATTGCTTTTTGTAAAATTATCTCTTCCCCAAACGTGAATCATCCAACAATGTCTTTTGACATTCTGTAATGTTTCAGGACAGAAGATCAATACTAGCAAATCTAAGCTTTACTGTTCTAAAAATGTGAACATCAACATATTAGTACAAATTAGCAAAGATCTTGGAATTTCTCTCATGGCAACCTTGGCAAATACCTTGAAATTCCTCTTATTCATAAGAAGATTTATAAACTAACCTTTGCTCCTTTGAATGATAAGAAGAACTCTTGCTTGGCCAACTAGAGAAGTCAATACATCAACATAGCTGGAAAATCTATTCTTATAAAATCTATTCTCTCGGCTCTTTCTAGTTACATCGTGCAAACTATGTTCTTACCTGATAATATACTGAGGGATTTAGATAAAATTGCTAGAAACTTCCTTTGGGATTCATCTGAAAGGTTAAAGAAACCCCACCTTCTTTCTTGGGAACACGGCACTTTTGACAAAAAAGATAGGGGTCTTGGCATCAAAAAGTTTAAAAATCAAAATATTGCCTTTATCATAAAACTCTGGTGGGGTCTTATCACTAAACCTAATCGTCTGTGGGTTTAGGTCTTACGCGATAGATATAATTGCAAAAAACCCACTATCCCTATGGTCGTTAAACCAAATTCTTGGTCTTACATTTGGAGTAGCATATGCAAAATCTGGGATAGATTCATGTCTCATATTGGTTGGAAAGTAGGAAATGGTGCTAAAACATCCTTTTAGTATGATAAATAGACTTCTCTGCCTGATCCTCTTGTGAATTATGCTCATCACAATACCGATCCTATTCTTCATGCTAGAGTTTAAGCTAACTGGTGGTTGGAATTTTGATATTCTTCGTCGTTGCCTTCAACCAGAAGCTGTTAAACATATTTCCCTCATGCAATCTCTTAATAGCCATCATGGAAATGATACTATTATCTGGAGGCCATCTAATGATGGCAACTTCTCTATAAAATCTGCTGACAAGGCAATTGAATCTCATTAAACCTAGGATCACTCTCATATATGGCATAAAATTTGAAAATAGCCTACTTATAAAAAAAAATCAAATACTTCCTCTAGAAAGCTACCTGGGATCGACTCCAAATCAATACTCTCCCAAATGGGAATGCTATTTAGCATCGTATTTGCCCCCTTAATTGTAACTCTCCTAACTCCTCTATTCACATTTTATGAGACTGTTATGACGCTAGGGAGGTATGGGAAAAATTGGTTAATCCTTCCAAACATAATATTTTCTTTTCTCTTCATATGCAGGACTGGATATTATGGAATGTCAAAAATGAAGCAGAAAGTCACAGAAGAAGCTTTTTGCACAAGCCTGTTGGAACATTTGGAAAGCTAAATGCAAGAAAGTCTACTCTAAAAATGCCAACTTGAACAACAACATCACCTTCTCCGGCACACGCCAAATTATCAATGATATGAGACTTTAATCCAAACTTGACCCTTTGAGTAAAATTGACACTAGGCATGAAGCTAGATGGAATCTTATTAATCCTGGGTAGGCTAGACTGGATGTTGATGGCTCAGTTAAACGTAATGGTGTAGTTGCTTGTAGAGGGCTTATCAGAGATGACAAGGGTAGCTGGATTAAGGTTTCTCCAAAAATTTGGGTTATCGACCTAACATAGCGGCCAAACTTATAGGAATTTTAGAAGGACTTAACATGTGCTGGGATGCAAAGATTTACAGAGTGAATGTTTACATTGACTCTATAGAGGCTTTGTCCCTCATTAATAGTAACTTCGATCCTAGCCATTTTAGCAACTATCAGGAATATCAGAAATCTCATTATGAAAAATTAAGAAATCACCCTTGATCATATCTACAGAGAAGCCAACTGATGCGTAGATCTTCTAGCCCACAAGGCTTCAAGAGACGATTTTGATACTACCTTTTTGACAGACCACTTGCAGACTGTAGTAGCCTTTTGGCTTTTGAAATGACTTGATTTTTGTTTTTGGTCGTTTTACATGATTTTACTGTGGCCTTCTATTAAAAAAAATGACCATTAAATTTAATAGAATTCATGCCACATCAAAGTATATAAAATTTTTTGAAAGATGACATGTGATTTAATGCATTCAATTAATTTATACTCTTAATTTGCAAATGGGCAATTTTATGATTCTATTCATAACAATCCCAATTCGCAGTCTCTTACCTTGTCTGCTCTCTATCTCTCTGAAATCACAAGTCTTTCTTATTTGTAATGTTTATTCTACTTTTAATTATCTTCTTCGTTTGAAAATCATTCTTACGCATTCCATTTCCGTTACTTTCTTTAAATCTAGAATTGTTTCCTGAAGCTTCTCACTGTCTTCATTGGAAAAACAATAATTTCTTTTTTTTTTTGGTTAATAGCTCCTTAAATTTATTTATGCAGAATAAGTTCATGTCAAAAACCAATCGCACACATAAAAGATTTGCAGAGAGAGCAAAAGGAAAACAAAATGGAAGGAGGTAGGAATTAGAGATTGCCACTAAGAAAATTACAAAATTGCCCAGGAGCAAATTATCAAGATAAATTAATGATTGATAAAAAAAAGATTGCATGTCACCATCCAATAATTGTTTTTTTATAACTGAGGAGGCTAGCTAAAAACTGGAGAGAAAAAAAAAAAAGCAAAAAAATTAGGCCTGTCCGAACAGGGCAACACCTCTAAACCGTCCAATAATTTTAAAAAGTCTGCTGACATAGCATATATTTTAGGATAATTTAACTATCACTTAAACAATAAGGGGTTAACGGTCAAAATTTGAAAGTTAAAGTTGTGATTTTTAAACTATATGTAAACAATAAGGTTATATGTATCTGACTTAAAATTGAGGAGGATTTTATATAATTTAGACTTACTTTACTATATTCCACTCAAATAATTAATGAGAATGTTTTATTAAATAAGTCAAATATTAGATTTATTCACTCAAGGATATGATTGAGGACATATAAAATTTTTTTAAAAATTAAGACTTTAACAATTTTCTTAGAAAAATATAAATTAATTAACAATAATTTATATTAGAGTCTATAGAGAATTGTACTACAAATGAAAGAAAGAAAAGAGGTCTTAAGTTAAGGGTTTCAACTTTAATTTCTAATTTTTTTAAAAAAATAAAAGGACATGCATATAAGTCAATCCTAAACTTTAGTATCCATTTGAATTTCAGTTGGATATAACAGATTATGAAAATAATTGATTAAGTAGTAGATTTTAATTATAATTGATTATGTTATAACGTAATGTGTTTGGATACTATTTTTTTTAAAACTAATTTTAACAAAATTAAAGATATTTAGATAATTTAATCAGAATTAATTTTTAACTATATAAATTACTATATAATTTAATTTTTAAATACCAAATATTATTTTTTGAAGATATAAAGTTTAAATTTTATTAAGAAAAAAAGAGAAAAATGAAGAGAGTTTGGTTTTATTTTTATTAAATTATGTGCTTTCTTTGTAATTTTTCTTGGGCCTATATTTTTTTCCCAACATTTTTGACAAGCTTTTTCGAAAAAGCTCTGATTCTCAGCTTTCAAAAATAATCAATTTTTGGCCCAACAATCGATTCTCCAAAAAAGTTAGTGTTTGGATAATTTTGTGAAGAATTAATTTTTTGGACCAAAAATTAATTATTTTTACTATCCAAACACACTGAAAATAAAGTTGGCCTTTTTAGGCCATGAGCTTATTAGGGCTGAATTTATAAACTAGGTCTATTTTTTTTATTATAAGTATAAAAGTTTAAATTTAGAAATTTCATCTTGGCTAAATGAGATTAGAGCTCAACTCATATAAATTCACCTAATATGATGCACAAAAAAATCATGTGATAATTGAGTTAAACTGATATTTATTGTATTAAAAATTAAAATAATCACTACAACAAATAACTATAAGGGGTTTAGGGCCACTTCTTTCTCCTTCCCGGGCTCTAATTTTTCTTCATTGTTATTTTTTTTTTTCGGTTCATGAAAATCGAGTAAGGTCAATATGGGCCTTACGGGCCAGAGCCAGTTTAAGCCGAGGTCCTAAAAAAGCCCACTATGTCAAACAACCCTAATGCCAATCTCTATATATATAGAAACTTGAATTACGAAGCAATTGAACATGGCCGTCTCTCTTTCCCAGCATTTCTGCGATTCTGTCTCGTAATTTTGCAGCGTGTAGGTTTTTTAAACGTTCGTTTTTGATCGATGTCCATGAGAGATTCGACCACCAATGCAAAAATTTGTCGAATCTCTTATAGACATGATCAAGACGAACGTTTTCAGACCAATTTTCGTTGAGATTTTAAGTTGAGAAAACTTTAAAGCAAGTTCAGCTTCTTGATTGGATCTCGATGTTGAAGTTACGGTCCAGTCAATCATCTTTACAAACTTGCGATATTCAATTTGCCAGTGTCACTCGCCTGATTTTGACTATTTCGGATATTTTAGGCCCTTTTATCGCTGGCACATCTCAATTTATCACACTCATACTTCATTGTGTTTTTCCAATTTTCTTCAATTGTCTAGTTGTGATTTCAGTACTTGAATAACATTAAGGGCTGTTAGTCAAGCAAACGCACTCTGTCCCAAAACCGTGTTTGACGCAAATGTTTTGAGGCAATTTCTTCGTTTGCGATAGTAGTGGAGTTTCTGAAACTCCGGTTTCAGATACTCCAATCCAGCAAACTCGCCCATATGGTTTGTTTTGATTGGTAGCCTTATTGGGCACATTGTTGGAGTACAAATCACTTTGTATGATTCAAGAATGAATGATAATGTGAGCACTTTTTTTCACTGACTGTAAAAATGGACAAATAAAATTGTTGAAAAATGGACTACTACTATGAGATCTATTTTCTAACAAGATCCCTTTATTAGAACAAGGAGATTCTAAGTTTCTAAATGTTTTTGGCTTTTTCACTAAAAGAAGTTTGTTGCTATGAGGTGTTATTGAATGGGATTGTTACGAGGCATGAAGCCAAGCATTTCTGTCTTTCTTGATGTCATCAGGTTAGATTGAAATTTCTCCCTGATCTGAAGCGAGGTTTATATCTGAACCTCTGGGAGAGAACACGGACTACCATTGCATGCCATTTCCTATGGGGCTATTCTGATCTTGAATTCTAGGAATAATGAAGTGAAATTGACTGATACGATAACTTTAGATCAACGGAGAAGTTGCAGTGAATGGATAAGTGACAAATAGGAGCAGACATTAGATGTCCTTTTCAAGTTTTTCTGGACTTTCAGCAATTTTAACTAGATGATGATATCTTTGTGAAAGTGAGTTAAGGGATCATGTTTGAATACTACATGCTGAATCATTTGAACATGATGTGGTAGATAGAATGTGTTGGAACATGATTGTTGTGCTCCTAAGATCGTAAAATTTAAGATGTTATTGTTGCCAATGTACACATGAATTCAGAAGCAGCAACAGAAGAGGCTTTCCTAGAAGGGTTACTACTTACCATTGATGATCTTACCTTCCCTCAGGTTACAAGCACATGCTCCAATCCACATATAATTGAAAAATTTAACATGTTTATTATCTTCGTTTCAATATATGATTTGGGCTTGCAAATGGTATGCCTAACAGGCACTGAATCTGATTGAAGTCTCGTCCTCTTAATTTGCAAAAATTGCCTAATTAGTTGACTAGATTTGTTCCCTATTGTTTTTGGAAAGGAGATTTGTCCTTTTTATATTCATGTCTTTATAGTTCTGACTACATGCAGTATATGGAACCAAGATTGCCTACAAGAATTCACAAATCAGTGGTTTTCTATTTGATGCTTGCAATAGTTTTCTATGGGGATCCAAAGAAAATGGCAGTGCCAATGCTTTTGTCTCCTGGAATCAATGTTGCTTTTCAAAAGCATATAGGGGGTTGAACGTAAAAGATTGTAGACTATGGAATCAGACAGCCATGGCAAAGCTTTTATGAGCTCTTGCGAAAAAAGGGACAAATTATGGGTAAAATGGGTGAATGGGATTAGAAAAAACTAACGCATTTGAGCAATAAATTTGTGCAAGGCTCTCCAAGTGTCATTAGGAGGGCAAGCACCGTTGGCATATGCATGGTATTTGATGGGTATCAATTATCAATAGCTCAACGGCCGAGGAATCAGATTTGCTCAAGCCCCTTTTTGAATGGGGTAAATATATTAACTAACCTGCCAGGTCAATTTTTTATGCTTGTGTGCTTTGTAAAATTGATAATGAAAAGTTTGTTAAATACGGCTATGGAGTGGATTGATTATAATGCCATGAATCTCTCAGATCAACAAGTACATGTTTGATTTTCTGTCAAATTCACAAGCAAATATCTTACAAAAAATATTTTCTCGCAACATCTGAATCATGTTCTTTAAAAAAGACAATTTTCCATAGGGGTTCCAAAATCCTGATGATTAAGTTGGGCAAATCATCGCCATCCATTCTTCTCCATTTAATCCAATGGCTGTTGCTATGGTTGCTTCTTCCTTTGATAGCCACAGATTCGAAAGTAGGGAGTGGAGACAACATTTTTACTTAAAATAAATCTTAATTATTTGTTGTATAAAAATCTTAATTATTTCTTAAGAAAAATCAATTATAATTTTAGATATTTATTTTAATATTAAGGCCCTAAACTTTGACTCAACTAGGAACTGAATTTTAATAGTCATTTTAATTAATTTACACCTCATATAATTAGTCAATAATTGTATTGATAAGTTAACATAATTTATGTAACTAACTAAAAACAAATTACCCCTTGAATGAGTTTAATTTTTATCAATCTAATATTTTAAATTGCATTTTGTTTATTTGTTTTTAAAGTTTTCGTACCTTTTTTTTTTTTTACTTAACTCATTATTCCACGTAGTTGTTACCAACATTCTACAATCTATGTCAATAAATTTCAACAATATTACTGTCAACTCCTCAATCAATAAAGACAAAATCAATAATTAAAATAAGTTTAAGAGACCCAGTTAACAAAAATTAAACTTTGAAAGATCAAATTAATAATTGAAGTAAACTTAAATGATTAAAAGTTAATTTTCATTGTTTAAGTTGTTTGTGTGAGGTCTGAGAGAAACTTTCCGTGGTTGTTTCTCTACTTTATAAAAAGAAATAAATATATTTTATCTAATTAATAAATATTTAAAATTATAATTTATTTTAAAATAAGAAAAATCTAATTATAATTTTGATTCAATTAAAATCTTATCCCTAATTGAGTCAAAGTTTAGGGCCTTAATATTAAAATAAATATTTATTAACAATATTAATACTCACAAAGGGTGGGTCTAGCAAATGTGGCTAATCTCTCATAATATGAGAAATTAAAGTTTTAATTTTTATTAAGAGAGATATTCACATTAATACTTAAAATATGATTACTTTGTATATCTATGGAAACCCCTAAAAAAATTATAATTATTTTTCAAAAAATAATTAAGATTTGCCATAAGCCCAAAAAAAAAAATGTTGTCTCCACGCTGCCAATTTCTCCCAGTTTTGCCATAAGCTAGATGATTTGCACCAATATAATCACCAGGTGACGTTCCGATCCCGACAATCAACGTCAACACCATTATTCCCTTCTCTCTCCTTTCATTTCTAGCTTTCTTTTCATTTCATTATGAATCTCCATCACACAAAACCATAAGGAATTTGCAACAACTTCGACTATGTTTAGATAATTATCTAAGACTAATTTAGACCGATGAGTAAGGTGAATTACATTATAAACGGCTAGGAAAGCTTATGAATCTCACTTTTAAGAATCTTCAATGACATTTATTCAACAAACACATTTGCTTGCGTTTTCACTTTAAACTAGAAACCACGTAACCATTAATTCGGTTTATTTTCTAGCAAACAATTTAGGTAACTAAATCCACTCATTTGAATCTGTTTTATCAGTCTTTGAACTCATTTGGATTCATTCAATCATTTACAACTCATCTTACTAGGAGAATTCGACCTACATTATTCGGTATTCCACAATATGGTAACTTAATTTAAGGCCTAAGCAATGTAGGTTATTAAATTTGGCGTTAGCCCTTTCTCTTTTTAAAACATCATTATATGAGTTAACTGAAACGATAACTTGCATGCTTAAATTTCATCTTATTAAAAACATTACTCCCTTCGTTTAAAAATATAAAGTATTTTTAATCAAATTTTACCTTTTAATAAAGTGATTACTTATTTTCAAACTAACCATATCTTTTTTATTTATTCCTATTAAACACCCTATAATAAATATAAAGTTACTATCAATAGGGACACTTAAAAAAAGTAATTGTTACACCTCGAAATACTAAAAATACTTTACATTTCTGAACATCTAACTCCTCAAAAAATGCCTTACATTTTTTAATGGAGGGAGTATATAATAATTAATTTACTTATTATAATTAAAATTTTTTGTCATGATTTAAAATAATTAATTAAGAGCTCCAACATACAAAAATATTTTTTAAAAAATTTTTAGCATATGATATATCCATTATATATACATGTTCACATTGGCACTAATTAGGTCGTTATCCATCTTCGCTGCAACTTCTATGTTGACTTGACCTAATGTTATCAATATTCCTATAGAATTCAAAAGTAATTAGCACAAGCAGCAGATCAGACAAGAATAAAAATTATGATTTTTTTAATCACAAAATAATTATTCCCTGAGTTTTTGGGCTTGTTAAGTTTATATAGATTTCTATTATATATGTCGGATAAACTCGTACTGAAGAAAAGAATTAATATCTGGGTTTGATATATCTGGTTCACGAGGTCAATTCCCACTAACAAAGTGCTAAGACAAAAGATCTACCTTCCCTAGAGTAATTAGACTGCCATTGATATTTCTCTTTCTTTCGTTTGTAGATCAATAAATCACACGTCTGATTTTCCGTCAAATGTCCTGGAAAATATTTTGAAAAATTGATTTCAAGATCCACATAAAAAAAAAATTCTCATAAAATTACTCTGAAAATCTCGTGTCTTTTATTTATTTTTTAACCGAAATTGTTATGTTATTGATCTCATGTCTTTCACAAAATTGTCAATTATAATCTCAAGTATTTTACTGAAATTTGTATAGGGTTGTTAATGGAGTTATTCAGTTGATGACTAAGGAACAATAATTAACAACTATTTAGTATTATAATTGATAACTTTAATAAAAAAATATGAAATTTCAGAATAACATTGTAATTTCTTCATGAAAATTTTTGAATTTAATTTTTTTTTTTTGTGTAGAACTGAAGAATAAATTAACTTTCTCACAACTCCTCAAATCCAATGATGGCGTTGCTTAAAATAGACAAATTTGTGTACAACATACGCCCCACAAAGCTCACGTTCCAATTGAAGTGGACAATCACCACCACCTTCATTCCCTTCTCTTCCCTTCCCCTTCTAATTTTCTCTGCTCCTTTCCTTTTCAATATCCTTCACACAAAGCCACAAACAGTCTCTTCCCATTTTCTTCATCCATGTTCTCTTTCTCTCTCCCAATCCCTCAATCCCAACTAACACCAACGATCAAGTCGTTTTTAATTTCTTCCTCATCACCACCTTCATTGCCCCTCGGCAATGGCAGCGCACGTACGTACGTTTGGTTTGACTCATCATGAAACCAGCGTCACCTGAGGTTGGAACATTAATTCGGACGTAACGTACGAGGAGTAATCATAAGACGTTGGCCGGCCGGTGTGGTTAGGGACAACAAGTGATCAGATCAAACAAAACGTAAATTACAAAATAAACATGGAGGATTTATCGAACGGTACTGCCGACGACATTGTCTGCTACGCACCAACTCTGATCACCACAAATGGCATCTGGCAAGGAGACAACCCTCTGGACTATTCCCTTCCTCTCTTCATCTTACAGTTAACCTTAGTCGTCGTTGCTACTCGCATCTTCGTCTTCATCCTCAAGCCATTTCGCCAGCCTCGCGTCGTTTCAGAAATCTTGGTCCGTACTCACTGCGCAAAACAGCCTGATCTCTTATATAAGTATAGCGCAGAAAATTAAATTAACTCTCTTTGTTTTTTGTTTTTTTCAGGGAGGAATAATGTTGGGTCCATCGGTGTTTGGAAGAACAGAGAAGTTTGCGGCTGCAGTATTTCCTTTAAGAAGCGTGATGGTGATTGAAACAATGGCTAACGTTGGTCTACTTTACTTTCTGTTCTTGGTGGGTTTAGAGATGGATATTATGGTCATCAAACGCGTGGGTAAAAAAGCTGTAGCCACAGCGATTGCTGGTATGATCTTGCCTTTCGCCATTGGTGCTGCATTCTCCTTCCTTCTTCACAAAGAAAACAAAACAAGCATAGGCCATGGGACCTACATTCTCTTCCTCGGTGTAGCTCTCTCTGTTACTGCATTTCCTGTTCTTGCTCGTATTCTCGCAGAGCTCAAGCTCATCAACACAGAACTGGGCAAGATCGCTCTTTCTTCTGCTTTAATCAATGACATGTTCGCTTGGGTTCTCTTGGCTCTAGCCATTGCGTTGGCTGAGAATCAATCTGCGTCGTTGGCTTCACTTTGGGTGGTCTTGTCGAGTGCAGTTTTTGTAGGGTTTTGTATGTTTGCTGTGAGACCAGCAGTTTCATGGATAATCTCGAGAACTCCAGAAGGAGAAGCGCTCAGTGAATTCCACATATGTTTGATTCTGTCTGGGGTTATGATTTCTGGTTTCATCACTGATGCGATTGGGACCCACTCTGTGTTCGGAGCTTTTGTGTATGGCTTGGCCATCCCTAACGGGCCACTTGGCATGACGCTGGTGGAGAAGCTTGAGGACTTTGTTTCAGGACTGTTGCTTCCTCTCTTTTTCGCCATTAGTGGGCTTAAGACTAACATCGGAGCCATCAAAGGAGCTGCCACGTGGGCTATTCTCTTCCTCGTCATCTTACTTTCATGTATCGGAAAAATCATCGGAACCTTGGCCGTCGCCATCTATTATCAGATGAGCCTTCGTGAAGGTATTTCCATTGGCTTGCTCATGAACACCAAAGGCCTCGTCGAAATTGTTGTCCTTAACGTAGGAAGAGACCAGAAGGTAATTATTAACTAAACTATAGCTGTGATAGTTACTATATATATATATATATATATATTCTGAATCATGTGATTATGCATTCGCAGGTGTTGGACGATGAGTCATTCGCGATCATGGTGTTAATAACATTAGTGATGACAGGACTCATTGTGCCGCTAGTGTCATTGATTTACAAACCGTCAAGGAGGATTGTTTCGTACAAAAGAAGGACGATCCAGACAACGAAACGAGATTCAGAGTTGAGAATTCTTGTATGCGTTCATACTCCGAGAAACGTTCCGACCATAATTAACCTTCTAGAAGCTTCAAACCCGACCAAGAAATCACCCATCTGCATCTACGTCCTCCACTTGGTGGAGCTCACAGGTCGGACCTCCGCCATGCTCATCGTCCACAACACCAGAAAACCAGACTGCCCCGCCATCAACAGGACCCAAGCTCAATCCGACCACATCATTAACGCCTTCGAAAACTTCGAGCAACACGCAGGTGGTGTGTCTGTCCAGCCCTTAACAGCAATCTCTCCCTACTCCACCATGCACGAAGATATCTGCAACCTCGCAGAAGACAAGAGAGTCGCCTTCATCATCATCCCTTTCCACAAGCAACAAACCGTTGACGGTGGAATGGAAGCCACCAACATGGCCTTCCGTACTATCAACCAGAACTTGCTCGGCAACTCGCCTTGCTCCGTTGGAATTCTCGTAGACAGAGGACTCACCGGCTCTAACAGATTAGCCGCCAGCCAGATCAGCCACCACGTTGTCGTTTTGTTCTTCGGCGGGCCCGACGACAGAGAAGCGTTGACGTACGCCGGGAGGATGTTGGACCAACCGGGGGTACATCTCGCCGTGATGCGTTTTGTTCCCGGAGAAGAAGCAATGGAGCAACAATCTGGTCTGAACAAAGACAAAGAGAAGCGATTAGACGAGAGCGTTCTGAAGGAGTTTCGAACGAGAAGCGAGCACGATGATTCATTGGCGTATATTGAGAAAGTGGTGAATAACGGAGAGGAGACTGTGGCGGCGATAAGGTCGATGGATGATATACACAATTTGTTTATAGTGGGAAGAGGACAAGGGATTATAACGCCGTTGACGGCGGGGCTGACGGACTGGAGCGAGTGTCCTGAGTTAGGCGCCATCGGGGATTTGTTGGCGTCGTCGGATTTTGCAGCTACAGCGTCGGTTTTGGTGGTGCAACAGTACATCGGGTCGTTCGGAGATATCTTGACCACGCCGGATCACACCCATGAAGAGTATCACCACCATGATCACCATCATCTGTCGCCGCTAAGTAGAGCTCAAACTAGTGCGTTCCGTACAGAATCGATATCCTTGTGATTGAGAGGAATTTGGGTGCTTTCTTGATTAGATTTTTTGACGACGCCGGAAAATACCGCATGAAATCATCAAAGAAAGATGCTTTTCTAAGCCAACTCAGTTCGTGACTGTGAACAATTTCTTGATACGCACGGAGACGAATTCCTGTAAATATATAAACAGGGGAAGCCGGTGAATGGAATGGATGATGAATGTCGATGATGAAGTACGTGGAAGCAGATAGAAGTGGCTTGTAAGTGTAAATTAGTGCTATATACTAGATCCAATAGAAATTATTAACCCTTCAAACTAAAGTTCTTCATTTTTAATTTTTTTTCCCCTTTTACCTCGTCATTGATCATATTTTTTTCTTGGACCTACAACTAATTCAGAATGCAGTTTTCACTCACAAGTCACATTTCACAACTAATTCATGTGAGTATTTATCAATGAGATCAATTGTTAAAAGCCAACGGCCAATTATTAAATGAGGGTATTTTTGAAAAAAAAAAATTTGTAACATTTATTAATTGCAACTAATTTTAACTCCATTTATTGATCCTAATGAATTAGTTATTCGTCTCTTCATTAAAAAAAAAAAAAAAAACTGGAGGTAGTAGTTAGCTAATGTGGTTTCTTGATTAACTAATAGATTTAATTTCAGTCAAAACCACATCTGGTTTTAATTGCCCTGTTCGCTTACTTTGTTTATTCAATAGTTCTAATTGAAGTAGTTGAATAATTGACTGAGTTGCACTATATTGCAGAACTCGTAAATTTGTTCAATTTTGATACTATCAACAACAGTGTCACCAAACTACACAAGACAATAGCTTGCTTGTTTTATTACCAAAAGGATCTGACAGTCGTTTAGCTAAGAGATCCTATCGTTCATATGACACTGCTCAGTAACTTATTAGGGAAATAGATGGGACTAAAAAGAATAACACAGCCTCTAATTCAAAATTGAATGGAGTTCAAAAATCATATCTTAGAGAATATGAACAGTATCAGCAGAGCTAAAAAGAACCTCCGAATTGCTTTTAATGTAGCAAGGCCTTTGCCAAATTATCTCTCAAGGTCCTTCCTAAAGGATCAACATGCTTACAGTACTGTTCCCCATATCCAGAATCATGATGACCAGACAAGGCAACATCTGGGTGCAAAGCATCTCCACTGTCAATTATTATATTATGAAGCAAACAACATATCAATATAATACTTGGCAATTTCCTCTTATCTGGCCTCCACATCACCTTGCTAAGGATTCTCCAGCTGCCCTTTAACTGTGAGAAAGCTCTCACAGCAAGCAGCCTAGCAGCCCGGTGCTTATCATTAAAACCAGACTGAGTGTTAAAGATACTATCAGTTTCATAAGGAGTTATAAGCCATGGAAGAAGAGGGTAACCAAATCCACCAACGACATATTCTCTAATCATGTCTCCTCTGGTTGAGGTTATTGCCTTCCCGTTTAATCGCTCCCCCTTCTCACACAGTTTGAAAAATCCTGAACATTTCAATAGCCGGGAAAATGGCATGCCTCCTGGCAAACCTGTCATGATATCAATAAATCTCATTTCATGATCGACAATTCCTTGTAACAACATGCTGTAGTTGTTTTCTTGGTCACACCAATCATCTGAGGTTTGGACAGCAAGGGTCATCATTATGTGTGTTGCATCAATGGCTCCACAACAATTAGGCAGCCGATAGGATGATTCAAACTTGGACTTGATGTCTTCCATTCTATTGAAATCAGGCCACTTGAGATGATGTCTCGCCCGTTCTTCCATGGCCTCGATGAATCTCCAAGTCACCTGAGAAACTGTGGACTGCCCAACCCCGAAGGAAGCTCCAACAGAAACTTGAGATTCGCCAGATGCTAGCCTTCTGAGGGCAATGGCAACCTGCTTCTCAACACTAAGAAGCCTTCCCTCGATGTTGATGAGCCCAGATGGTGGCCTTGATATGAGATCCTCCCTTACAAGGGAACATATGTACTCAAAAGTCTTCTTTGAAACCCTAAAGAAGTACTTAAATCCTTCTGCTTCATCACTGGGTACTGAGTATCCTGCAGGTTTGTATCAATGCCGTGAGATTATCATCAAGAACATTACAAAAATAAGATTTGCCTAGGTTAAGCTCATTACCCGAGAGAAGCAAACCCTTGCATACAAACTATAGCGGTTTGTCTTCTTAATAACAGTCAAGCATTCACTAATAAATTCGCGGAAATTCTTTTTCTTAGCGTGACTAAGAAGTAATGACAGATTCTACAGTTCTTCTATAATTAATTCATTAACTCGTTCATGGTTTCACCTTCAAGCACTTCGACAGACCAAAAGTCACTCTTCTTATTCATCATGGATTAAGGGGGGGGGAATCACAAACCTTTTAAGATATTAAAACCCTACATAATACATATTCCATTAACGTTGACGAACAATAGAAGCAATTAATTAACAAGTTCTCTCGACAACAATCAGCATAAAGAAACCAACCCAGAAAAGGATTCGAACAGAAACATCAGAACAGCTGAACCGCAGGATCATTGATGAAGTAGAAAATTTGAAGTAAAATAATGAACCTGGGGCGGTAGAATTTTTGTGCCAGAAGCTATTCCACCAGTCGGTCTCACTGGTTCTGGGTTCTATAGGAACAACGCTGAGCTGTCTGCGTTTCTTGAGTTTCTTGGTTCCCCTTTTAATCTTCTTTGATTTCTTGAGAGGCGCCATGGAGGAAGAAAGAATAAATCACTGTTCGCAAATCCAACGACGGGCACAGGGGAGTAATTTGCAAAGAAAAGATGATCTGCGAACGAAGCGAAACCAATGACCGTCCAAGGAAAAAGGTCAAATTCGCCGGTGAATGCCGCTTTCAAACCAAACGAGAAATGAAAACAGGAACGGAGGACTCACGAGCTAAGCAGCTAGCCCATATCTATGGACTTTAAAACCCAAGCCCGTCAAGCCCTTCTCTACAATGACGATTTTTTTTTTAAGCGTAGAAGGGACATAATTTGATTCAGTGTAAACCGTCAATTAAAGCTAAGCATTACCATCAATGATTGAGTCTACTTAAACTGACTGGTCCCTTATAATATCAGGAACTAAAGTTTAGATTTTTATTGTGAGAAGTGCCCCAGTTAAGCTTGGTTTGGTTAGAAGAAAAAGCAGGAAAAAAAAGAAAACTAAAAAAATTTCGAAAATAATAAATTTTTTATTAGTTTTAAAAGTTTTCTCTTCTAATTTTGCTTCATTTTTCCCCCTTCTTTATTCAAGTAAAGGATGTGCATGATTACTTTTAATAAAAGGATAAAAATAAATAATTAAAAAAAAGAGCAAAGTTAAGCATTATTGTTGTTATTGTATTTTATCCTTTCAATGTTATATAGCATTTTAATTGAATTACAATTCTGGTATACTACCTATTTATCTTTTTTTTTTTGCCACAATTAATTATTTATCATTAAATTTTATTTTATTTTCATATTTATATTTATTTAATATAATGTTTCAATTAAAAAATTTATTAATTACATTTATAATTAAAATTTATTATAGAAAAATAATTAATTATATCATGAAAGATTTAAAATTCCTTGGATTTTTAAAATCTTGCCTTAAAGGGAGGGAGTAAAAAAAAAAAAAAGACCAGAAACTGATTGTGTAATTAAACAAAACTGCGGGGGTGTCCTGAAATATGCCAGCCAACAATGGTCAATAACTTGGAAGCTTCTCTCCGTCAAATCACATCCAAAATTCAACCATACTTTTATCTCAATGTAAATGGTTAATTAACATATTGGATAGTTAAATATGTCATGTACTCCATCTATTCAATATTATAAAATGATTTTTTAAAAAATAATATTAAAAAATATAAAATATTTTAATTCTTTCAATATATAATTAATAATTTTTTTCTAAAAACATTCTTAATTGATAAGTATAATTAAATGAGATTTTTTTAACAAAGATACTCTTTCAAATAAGAGTAGGTATAAAATGAATTTATAATTTTAAATATTATTATTACTATTAATTAACTTATTAGGTAGGACTGTTAATTAGTTAAAAATATCTTATAATTTTAAATTAAGAGAATGTTATTTTGAAAATGCTTGAAAAATAATGTAAATGAATATTTTAAAATCGCACGCAGAAGACGCTCTTTTGTTTCATTGGACTTGTCATTTAAGGTTATTACACACAGATTAAGAAATACAATATGTAAAATTATGACATGCTTTATTAAACTTGTCTCTCTTTTATTTTAATATTTTAATGCCTCTAAAATGATTGAGGGAGTAATAAAATATTCATCTAATTCTCTTTATAAATCATTTATATTAACCTCATCAATATCAATATAAAAAAATATAAAGATTACAAGTACCTAAAATTTTAAATATGCCCAATATAACAAGTATAAAAAGTAATTTTATATTACTTTTTCTCTCTCATGAAAAATAATTTTAAAAATATTCTTTAAATATGATCTAAAAAATCGTATCATAACTTATAAATCAAATTAAATGAATACTTTAAAATGTGACTTATAAAGATAACTAAAAGGAATATTGCTCTAAAACTTTAATTTCATTTTAAAATGTGATTTATAAATATAATTAAAAGAGTATTGCTCTAAAACTTAAGTAAAAAATATCATTAAATATTATTTTAAAAGTCTAAAATAACATGTAATATAAGAGAATATGCGTTTGATTACATCATTTTGTAATTTTTTAGACATATTGGTGGCCCCCATGCTATAAACAATCAACCATAGGTATCTGGAGCCACCAATTGTATTATTATTATTATTTTTTTTTTTGGGTCAGACACCAATTGTATTTTCAATGCTATTCTAAAATTGAGAACAAAAAATGCCTATACAGCACCAGCCCTAGCTAAACCCTATGACCTTAATTCAGCCTGACAACTAGACTATCAACATCTTTACCATCCACATAGACGCCGAGATTGCCAACAATTTGATCATCTTCTTTTATCCTGCAATGTCTTTTTTATCTTCTCGATCTATATGTATGCTTCCCTGTCCTTTCTGAAGAAAGTTACAGCTCCAATAATCCAGTGTGCTACATCACCAAGTCACATCACACCCTATCAATACTCAATAGGTCAATGATTGGTTATTACATTTGATTAACACACACGACCAATCCATCACACATACATGTAGTGCGTTACGTGTAAATATTTGCCAAAGTCTACAACAATTCATCACACAGACACACCATCTGCCACAAAGTATTCGTCGTAAACTCGTAGTGCGTCACGCGCTTTCACCTGTACCCTCCACTATTTTATTACACTTTTTAAATAAAATTATAAATGGATACAAATGATGAAATCAATTTAATATATTAGAGTATTAATATTATATATAATGCTTACCCAATGAATATAATTTCTTTGTAGGCCTAATGAATTCTGATATTTTCTTTTTTGCAGGCTCAAATACCTCAAGTGCAATTATTTTCCTCGTTAAAAGATGGTAATATAATTATGTTCTTTGTAGCCTTTCGGCTTGCACAGGAACATCATAATTCATTGGCCTAGAAGCAAAATTATGCTCATTAGGTGGGCTTTATATATATATATATATATATATTTCTTTCTAAACATAATTTGAAATCTTAATTTTTCAAAAATAAATATAAAATTTTAAAAATATCATTTAAAGAGAGAAATAAAAAGGATTTAAAGAATAAAATAATGAGGATTAATCTTAAAATTAGTTTTATTAATAAATATTTTTTAAAAATGTTTTATATTAAAATGTCAAATTATTCTAAAAAATGTTTATAAAATTGAACAGAGGCAGTTTTATGTTCTACGAGAGTATTAAAACGCTGTGCAATACTCCATTTCCACCAAAAAACGCTTTTGCAATATTAGTTGTTCTTGTTGTTGCATTAATGTTAGGGTTCAATTATTTAAAACAAAGGGACTCTTCATTTGCGATAAAAATCATGGCATTCATGAAAATGATGTTCGATTGAATTAACCCCTGACACGCTTGATGCATAATTAACCCTTCATCCCCACTGGCAAAAATGGAGAGGGGAAAATATTAAGAGAAAATTAAAAAATATATTATTTTAACTTTTTTCTCAAATAAAATATATTCTTTTCTTCATGTTTTTTATATCATTATCCAAATGAATGGAGGTAGGCAGTTTTAATATAATCTCATGAGCATTTTATTGAAAAAAAGACATCAACTATTATTAGAAATATGTGTACTTGAAATGAATGAAGTATTGAGTATTTTGTTGCCGTCAAGTTCACAAAACAGTAATACATTCACATCACACACACACATATACAAGTCCAATCATCTTATTTTGCCTACTGAGACGAAACTAACACCGTTAATGTTATGTCAGCCATCATCAGACATGTCAACCATTGCCTAACGGTGTGAATAGTGACTGTTAAGGACTTTTCCCCCCCAAACCTCAAGTGAGTGACAAGTACTAACCTTCTTCGAGCTGACAGATGGATATACATGGAGTGATCTTTATATAGACCATGATCAAAATTGCTAAAAACTACATGACTATATATAAACTTGGTCTTCTTGGATTTAATATATTTTAGTTATGTAACCCTTTTATGACCACAATGTTCCTGCCCATAGGAAAGGCTAGAGGGCTATTTGTTCATCACATGGCTAGCTATGTACACATGCCTTGTATTATCATATACATGATGATATAATTCGTATATTGCAATCACTACAAATAATTTACCCTCGTCGTTGTTGAATAAATGATAGTTACTGCAGTGAAGTGAAGCTTGGAGTTAATTAGATGATTAAAGAAAGACGAAAAGTGAGGAATCATTATTGGAATGAAGAGTGTGAACAGTGGAAAAGGGGTATTGACTTTATAAAAGCAACGACCAGAAGCAGCTTTAATAAGGCTAACGAAATACTCACACTTAAACAATGCCAGACTCACACACACTCTCTCTCTTTCCGGGTTTAACGCTAGCAAAGTTTGGAGCAAGCAACCCCACCAACCCAAACCAAATTATAGTGTGTGGGAGGCTGGGAGCTTCCCATGCGTTCCCAGATTCACGACCTTGTCTGTCTTTTCCAGTCCTCTCTGTAACAGTCTATTGAGTGAGAGAGTAGAATGATGACGGGGATGGCCACGTGGATCCTACTAGGTACAGCATCCATGTACGCCACCCCTATATACGAGACCTGTGGTTTAAAGATAATAATCAAAGTTATCGAGTTCCAGCGCTTTCCAAATACGAAAACATAACAGTAGCATTTAGCTAAAAGAATCAAATCCCACCTCCATTTGGATTAATTTAGTTCTGTTAAAATTTCTTTAACTTAATATGAGATAAGTCCACCACACATTAAAAAAAAAAAACATAACAATCAATAGGTGTTGGTGGAAGGGATTATAGCCGTTTAAACACAAGATACCAAATTTCAGTCCATGAAAATAAAAATCCACTTTAAAAAAGCTATTTCTACTTAAGCCCAACAATAATCGAATATGATGTACCACATCAAAAAATAACATAACAAAGATCAGGTGTGGAAGAAATGTACGTGGATAGAGGAGCATGGGAGTGTGATGTCTTCATCCCAGAGTACGAGGGAAGATGCCAAAAGCCGAAACTTCATATTAATGTGTCCATCCTTCTTCTGTGAGGATCATCATGCATTCATGCTGGTAGGTTAAAGCTTGAGCATTGTGTGGGGTCCGCACTCAGCCCCTCCTCCAACCTCCTTTCTTTTTGTTTTCTGTTCTCTCTCTCTCTCTCTCTCTCTCTCTGTGTGTTCCTCTGGTAATCCCAACTCCCATGTGCACGCCTGCTCTCTCTCTCTCTCTCTCTCTCTCTCTCTGCTGCTTCCACACTCATACGCTCCTTCAGTCTCGGCGACACATCTCATCATTAGTTTCGCTCTCCATCACTAACCTTACACCTCCTCACACACCTTTCTCTCTGAGTTATCTCTCTCGCGCATCGCACTCGTTCTCGACTCGTTCAGCGATTTACTCGCCTCTCACGGCTTCACGTACGCTTGCTTCTTCTCCCACGAGTTTATACGCTTGTTTCTTCTCTGATCTCTCTTGCCTTCGTACTGGTTCGCTCACGGTGGTTCGCTGAATCGCACATCTCGTCTGATATGTCGAAGCAGCTGGGATCTCATCCGGTCTGTCTCATCTGCTAAGGTTTGAGTTCCACCTAGTTAACTCCTCTGCTTCTCGCTTCTTCTTCTCTGCTTCTGTCATTGTTTTTATCGATCGCGATTTCAAGTTTTGAAAGACAGTTAGAAATGAGCAGATATCCTTTTGCTGTTTTCAAGTTATGAACTTACGCACACGATATTTTTTTAAAAAAAAAATTGCATTATATACGGATTGCAATTCTAAATATTATATAATTATCCCATTGTCAGTTTCTTTAATTTTATAAGATTAAAAGTAAATAACTTCTGGTTGACGTTACTTTTAATTAATATTTATTTAATATAATCTTTCATGGCAGGGGCGAAAAATAGGCAGAATAATGGAAATTAAATTCCATACAGATTTTGGGGGATATACGTTGCGTTGGATTTTTTTTTTTTTAATAACAGGAATACTTTTTAGTTACTCCACCACTTCCGTGGCACATTATGGTACCGTTGCTTTCAACTCAATCAAAGGAAGCCTCAAGGGTCGGAAATTGGAATATTTTCTTTGGAATAAGTCGACCCAATCAAGAGTCGGCAACCTTTCTGATAATTTTGGTATCCCAGAATCTTTCCTTTTACCAACGCATCAAGTTTGATGCTCCGTTGATTTATCTAAATTCCAGAAAATCCAACTGTCATAAATAGACGCTTGAAAATTTTACATGTCATCTCATGTTTCATCCAAGTATTTCCTTTTCTTTTTTCATTTTTCTTTTTCTCATTTCTCAACGGTCTGTAGTGTTCATTCCATAACTCTCAATCTGGATTTCTTCATGCAGGAGATACTTAATTTCCGGCGGAGTCTGGTTTAGGAAATAAATGGAGTATCAGATTCATATTGATCCTGAAAATGGTAATTTATTTCAAATTACTTAATTACTCTATGTTTTGGATATATCCGCCCACTTTATTTTTTTTTGGTTTTGTTTTCTTTAATCATTGTCAGTACTCAAACGTTCAGGACGACCCCATAGTGCCCCATAAAGCGCAAAAGCGAGCAGGAGACAGAAGCACAGACAGCATTGTGGAAAGAAAGATCTGGCCACCATGGGGTGATCTAGGGAATGGAAAAGAAAACGAAATAAAATAGAAAAAGAAAGATTAACAGCTGAAGTTGTCCGTCGCGGCCGGTAATAATAGGAACGGAACGGTGAAACTTTTTCCGGTGAGTTATCTGTGTACTGATACTGAATTACCACTTGTTATGGATGGATGATTCTTCGCTGCCCTTGCTCTTACGCCTTACGTTGTGGTTCTTCTTGAGTTGTTCTCTTAACCATGACTGTGACCTTTTTGTTTCCACGCTTTGTTCACTGACCGTTCGATTTCTCTGACTTCACTGTTCTCTCTCTCTCTCTCGCTCTCTCTCCCCCCCTCTTTCTCGCTTAGGTAATTCGAATAACATGAATATGGTTGCTATTTTATACATGTTCATAATAATGGCGGCTAAAAATTGAACAAAAATGGGTAATTCGTTATTTTCTTGCCGTGCTTGAGTATACTGTTTCAATGTATCGGTCAGATTTTGACACTTGAGTGCTTTCCATTGTTCTAATTGGTGAGTTTTGTCTTTGATCAGGTAGTTTGCTGCATATATTTCAATCCTACACTTCTGCAGCCTGAGTTCAGTTGATCAGGTAATGTTTGTTGTGCAGTGGTACCGTATTAGTTATGACATATCAGAACCGAAATTCCCAATTTTTCAGATCTCTTACTTTCAACTATTAAATAAATTGATTTTTCAAACAAAAATGAAGAATTCTAGACAGCCTTAAAATTACAAGGGATAGATTTGATTTATCTGAAACTGAATATTGTCACTCCTTTTCCATTACTTATTACATTGAACATATACAAACAAGAAGAGACACTTTCTCACCGTTTCTGTCGACATTAGTAGTCAATTGCCCTTTTTTTTGTGTTTATCTGATCTGCTTCCTCGATTTTTCAGACTGTAAGGTTCTGTAACATCCTAAGATAAGGAAGTTTTATTGTTGGCCGGAGCGATGGCGGTTGTGGCCCATGCAGATTCTAAAGGAATGTATTCATGGTGGTGGGACAGCCACATTAGCCCCAAGAATTCAAAATGGCTTCAAGAAAATCTATCCGGTAAGCAATGCTTCTACCATTCTGTTTCTAAACGTTGGACACTCTGATGGTAGCAACGGATATTGAAATACTTTTGGTCTCTCTTCCCTTGACAGATATGGACGTAAAGGTGAGGCAAATGATTAAGCTTATAGAAGAAGATGCAGATTCCTTTGCGAGGAGGGCAGAAATGTATTATAAGAAACGCCCAGAGCTCATGAAATTGGTTGAAGAGTTTTACCGCGCATACCGTGCATTGGCTGAGAGATATGATAATGCCACTGGAGTGATCCGTCAGGCTCATCGCACCATGGCTGAAGCATTCCCCAACCAAGTCCCTCCCGTGCCACCTGATGATTCTGAGCCGCGTACTCCAAAGACGCCTCACCCTCCAAGTGCATTTCTTCACTCAGATGAATTGCACAGGGGTGTTCCTGTAACCTCTCCGTCTCATTTCCATGATATGAAAAGAAACGGCACTGTTATTGAAGAACCTGATTCTGATATTAGTGGAAGGGGTTTAAAGCAGTTCAATGATCCATTTGTATCTGGTGGACACTTGAATCATGGAAAATTTGCAGAAGGCCGAGCTAGGAAGGGTCTTAATTTTCTTGATGCAGATGAGCAGAGTAATGATACTCGGAGTCAAGGTTTGTCCGAGTCTGAACGGATGGCTAGAACTGAGACAGAAATTTTGGCCTTGAAGAAAGCCCTTGCTAAATTAGAAAGTGAAAGGGAAGCTGGCTTGCTTCAGTATCAGCAGAGCATGAAGAGACTGTCAAATCTAGAATCAGAAGTTTCTCACACGCAGGAGAACTCACGAGGACTTGATGAACGAGCAAACAAAGCAGAATCTGAAGTTCAAACCTTGAAAGATGTGCTTATAAGATTACAGGCTGAAAGGGAAGTTAGTCTTGTTCAGTACCAGCACTGCTTGGAGAAAATTTCGAATCTGGAGAACAAAATTTCTTTGGCTCTAAAGGATGCGGGAGAATTTGATGAACGAGCCACCAAAGCTGAAATAGAAGCTGACTCGCTCAAGCAGGACCTTGCAAGAGTAGAGGCTGAAAAGGAAGCTGCCCTTGATCAATATAAACAGTGCGTGGAGACGTCATCAAAATTGGAGGAGAGGCTAATACAGGCTGAGGAGAATGCAAAGAGGATTAATGAGCAAGCTAACAAAGCTGAAAATGAACTCGGGGCCATGAAGTTGGAAATTGCTAAGCTTACAGGAGAGCATGATGCAGCCGCTCTCCGTCATCAGCAATGTTTGGATATAATTTCCAGCTTAGAGCATAAACTCTCTTGTGCAGAAGAGGAGATGCGTAAGCTAACTTGCAATGTGCAGGATGAGGCTGAAAAGTTAGAGTGTTCTGAACAGAAGTGTCTTTTCCTGGAAACATCCAATCAAACTCTCCAGTCTGAATTGCAGTCCTTAGTGCAAAAGATGGGTTCTCAGAGCGAAGAACTTAATGAGAAGCAAAAGGAATTGGGAAGGCTTTGGACTTGCGTGCAAGAGGAGAGGCTACGATTCATGGAGGCAGAAACTGCTTTCCAAAATCTTCAGCATTTGCATTCTCAATCTCAGGAAGAGCTTAGATCTCTTGCCGTCGAGCTTCAGAATAAGGCTGAAATTTTGGAGAATGTGGAATCCTGTAAAAAGGCTTTAGAGGATGAAGTACAAAGGGTCAAGCAGGAAAACCAAACTCTGCAAGAGCTCCAATTATCTTCATCTTTGTCTATTAAAAATTTGCAGGATGAGATATCAAATTTGAGGGACAACATAGCAAAACTTGAAGAGGAGGTTAAACTGCGGGTGGAAGAAAGAAATTCTCTTCAGCAAGAAATTTACTGTCTTAAACAGGAGCTCAATGATGTCAATAGAAGGCATGAAGCTGTGAGGGGCGAGGTGGGGTTAAATGGACTTGATCCACAGTGCTTTTTATCATCAGTGAAAATTTCGCAGGATGAGAACTCAAAGCTGAAGGAGGCATGCGAGGCTGACCAAAGTGAGAAAGCTGCTCTTCTTGAAAAACTAGAGATCATGGATAAACTTATGGGAAAAAATGCTGTATTGGAGAACTCCCTCTCCAACTTGAACATTGAGTTAGAGAGTGTCAGAGGAAAAGTAAAATTGTTAGAAGAAACATGCCAGTCTCTATTGCTGGAGAAATCTACTTTTGCTTCTGAGAAGGCCACCTTGTTTTCTCAGTTGCAAGCTACAATTGAGAAGCTAGAGAAGCTTTCAGAAAAGAACAAGCTTTTGGAAAATTCTCTATATGATGTAAATGCTGAACTTGAAGGACTCAGGGTAGAGTCAAAAATCTTAGAGGACTCATGCGAGTTACTTGACCACGAGAACTCTAGTCTCATTTCTGAGAAAGACACTCTACGTTCACAGTTCATCACCACTCATCAAGCACTGAAAAATCTAGAGCAACAACGTAGTGAATTGGAGATGAAGCATTTGGAATTAAAAGGAGAAAAGGAATCTGCACTTCAAAAGGTCGAAGAGCTACTGGCTTCCTTATATGCTGAGAGGGAAGAGCATTCCAGAATTGTGGGGCTCAATAAAATTCAATTGGCTGAGAAGGAATTAGAAATCCATGTTCTACGAGATGATGCAAAATGCCAGAAAAAGGAATACGAGGAGGAACTAGATAGAGCTGTAAACGCTCAAATTGAAAATTTCATCTTACAGAATTCTATCCAGGATATGGAAGAAAAGAACTTCTCCCTTCTGGTTGAATACCAGAGGCTCTCGGAGTCATCCAAAAGGTCTGAAGAACTGATATCTAAATTAAAGAAAGAAAATGTCCAAAAGCAGGTTGACATGAATTCTCAGTGTGAAAAAACTAGGATACTAAGGAATGGGTTGCTTCAGGTTCTGAAGACTCTTGACATCAACCATGAACATTTCTATGGAGATGTAATTGAAGAAGAGCAGAGACTTCTGAACACTAAACATGGCAAACTTCAGGAAACGCAAAATTCTGTAGTTACAGAATTCAATGAAAGCCAGCAACTAGCCATTGAAAATTCAGTTCTTGTTGCACTAGTTGGGCTGTTGGAACCAAAGGTGCAAGAGCTTGTGACAGATAGAGCTGACCAGGATGATGAGTTGAGGAACCAATCTGTGCGATTCATGGCATTACAAGTAGAGTTACAACAGATACTGGAGAAGAATGAGGAATTGAATTTGACAATAGCCAAGGGAGAAGAGAGAATGCAAGTAATGGCAACTGAGATAGAGAATCTACGGAGGCAGCTGTCAGACTTGGACGAATTGTACAGTGACTTGAAGGAAGAAAGTTGCAAAACATTTGAAGAGAAAACATCCTTGATGAGAAGATTCGTAGATCTTAATGAAGAGAAAATTAACCTGGAAGAAGAGATCCAAGTCACGATTTGCCAGACAATAGCTCAATCCATTATATCTCTGATCTACCAAAACATTGTCTTTGAAAAACTCCTCGCACTTAAGGAGTTAGGTGAAGATCTTGATGAACTTTGTTCAAACCATAATGACCTTGAAAAGGAGTTTAGACAATGCGAAAGTCAGGCTGCCACACTCTATGCTGAATTGCAGATTTCTACTATCAATGAAACCGTATTTAAAGAAAGGGTTTGGGACCTAGTAGATGCATGCAAGAACCTTGAAAATGGAAGGAACTCCAAAAGTATGGAAAGCCAAAGGCTGAAAGAAAGAGTGAGAAAATTAGAAAGTGAAAATGGGAGACTACGTGATCAATTGGCCAGTTTTGGCCCAGCTGTCAGTGCTTTGGACAATTGTATATTATCGTTGGAGTTGCAGACTCTTGTAATTACAAAATCTCATGACAAGGCAGAAGAAAAGGTATTTACAAACTCTTATTATTTGGTTCTGCCACTAGTGTAATTAGTTCGATCATAATATTCTTGTAACTTTGTACTTTTGTCCACAAAACTGAATAAGCCGTCCTTTTGAGTTGGTTCTGACTTAATCTGTTGATGACTCACAAGTGGACTTCCTCCGCTACTTCCCTTCAATTCTTGGAAAGTATATTTTATAAGGTTGAGGAGGAAAAATCTCCAGTTAACATGCCTACTTTTCCTGCTTGCATTATTTGAAATCTTGGCTAAGCTTTTTCTTTTGGTCATTGGTTAAAGGCTCTCGTTGTTTATGCTCTAGTGAAAAAGTCAATAGAGGGAAGTTTTGGAAATTAGTTTGATCCTATTATTATGTACTTTTCTTCGAATCATATACCTAAGTGGATGGCTTTGAATCTTTGATTGTCATTCACTTAAAAGGTGAAGCATGCTCATTTAGGTTGCCTGTGTTTTGGTGAAAACTGATTACGTTCGCATATTTTATTATTTTTATTTGATTTGCTTTTACTTCCGTATGTTGCGTGAAAATTGAAACATGAGCAACAAGCTGCGCATGACTCGTTAAATTTTTGTATTACATATAGATGTTTATATGCACTATATAAATATATCATAATAGCATGCATTTCTTTTTCTGGATATAACTTATGGCTTCCACTCACTGTTTCCAGGCTAGCAATTTGGCGCAAAAACAATACGCTGAAGGAAGTGAGCAAACAAGTAGAGATCAGATTACGGCACCAGTTTCCCTTCCAGACTTCCAACACATGCAGAAAAGGGTCAATGCAATTGAAATGGCTGTGAAACAAATGAATGGAAGTTTCAAACGGAGGGACAAGCTCAAGGACATTCAAGAATTAAAATCTGGAAGCAGCCGGCATGTAGAAAATACTCAAATCAGCAAGCACATTACTCTAATGGATGAAGCAGAGGATAAACTCACTGATGAAAAGGTGATAGGGAAATCAGTGCCAGCAATCCAGTACGCAGACAACGAGGTTCTCCCCAAAGACATCATGCTCGATCAAATGTCCGAATGTTCATCGTACGGGCTAACAAGGAGGGAAACTCTTGAAGCTGATGATCAGATGCTGGAGCTATGGGAAACTGCAGACAGGGATAGCAGTATTGGTCTAACTGTTGGAAAGTCGCAGAAAACGGCCACCAGACCATCGAATCACCATCAAAGAAGAGCAAGCAGGGAATCCAGAATTAAAATCCCCTCCACAGAGTCACTGGTTGAGAAGGAACTGAGCGTGGACAAATTAGAGATCTCAAATTCAAGAAGATTCACGGAGGCGCGTGAAGAAAGCAGCAAGCGGAAGTTACTAGACAAACTCGATTCAGATGCACAAAAGCTCACAAACCTTCACATCGTGGTACACGACTTGATGAAGAAGGTAGAGATCACCAAACAAATCCCAATGGGAAAAGACATTGAGTACGATACAGTTAAACGTCAGCTTGAAGCAGCCGAAGAAGCCATCACAAAGCTGTTCGACGGAAACCGCAAGCTGCTGAGAAAAGTGAGAGACGGTACGGTGTCGTTTGGGGGGAAGCGAGCAGGAGCAACAGATTCAGACGAGAGCAGCGGAAGCGTGAACAGAAGCAGAAGGAGAGCTGCAGAACAAGCACGAAGAGCATCGGAGAAGATAGGACGGCTTCAGATAGAAGTGCAGAGACTGCAATTTCTGCTTGTGAAGCTCGACGATGAGAAAGAAAGCAGAGGGAAGGCGAGGATCACAGATCGAAGTCCAAGAGTGCTTCTGCGAGATTATCTGTATGGAGGGACGAGATCAAGAATAATCCACAGGAGGAAGAAAGCACCATTTTGTGGATGTGTGCAGCCTCCCACCAAAGGGTAGTTAGTTAGCTGTTTAGTCGTCTTGGAGAAATCTAGAGCAGAAATGATCAGCAATGTCTAACCGATAACATACATTCTTTTTTTAAAATATATTTTATTCCCTCTATTCCTTAGTTTATTGTAGAGCTCTGGAGCTTAATTGAACATATTTTACAATGTTTTCTATTAATAGGGACAATTGGGAATTGAATTGATCTAATTGATTAATGCTTAATCAGTAAAACTCTGATTTTATTCCTAATATTTGAATTCTGTAGCAAGTATCACCAGAGAGGAGAGGGTGGGAAAGAGTGGTTTTCAGTTTCAGGGAAAGTGATGAGGAGTGAGTGCAACGAGAGTGTTATTGTGACTAAAGAACACAACAAAATCAAAGGCAAGAGCCTTCTTACAGAGGCGAGGGAGCTTATTTTAAGGACTTGGGTAGTTTATCTTGGTTGTTCTTGTAATGATTCAAATGAGATAGAGCTGTTTATATTAAGCTTAGTTCTGATTATTTTGGTGTTCTTTTACCGTCAACCCTCTCATAATTATATTCGGTGGATAGTGAAAGGCAATAGCTCGTCTTAGTTTGTACCTCTTGTACAGTGTTTTTGATTAATAGATCCTTTTTCCACCAAAAAAAAAAAAAATCGAACGCAAGAAGGCTGCTCAAGTTGCTAACCCCCATCCGTGTGTGTGTGTAATTGAAGGGACCCTCGATAAATCGTCTAGTTCAAAATCCTATCCTATCCCTACCATCCTCACCTTTTAATTTTAATAATTTCCGCCGTTGACTCACTCATACATTTATCAACCTTTCCTTTTTTAGTTTTATATTAAATTTTCTTATTATCGACCTTTTCTTATATAAATTACCAACCCTTTAGACAAACGGTACCTACAAAAGAGGACACAGTAACAATGGCGGAGCCAATGAAGAACCAGGGGCCCCTGAAAATTTTAATTTTTCTTTAATATTATAATGGTATTATACATTTCGGCTCCCTTAAAAAACTTATGAAAATATTATGGTAAAATAAAGCTTAATTTTATATATATATATATATATATATATATCACAATTTGTCTCACACTTTAGGTGGTTAATTTATTTATTTATTTTTTGGAGTACCATATATGCTCTAGGCCCCCTCTGTAAAATTCTTGGCTCTGCCCCCGTTCAGCAAGCAATATCATATTTGTCTACAGCTTCTCAGCTATAACAAAATTCAATATGTTGAACTCGGAAGGAAATTCCAAAAACAAAAGGCGACATATAAAAACTTCTTTCAAATATGTTCCTTTGGTTAATTTAACTTACAGCAGAATATGTATGGAAGTTAATGAATTACACGTCAGTACGTAAACAGGGGAAAATTGTTGATTTACATGTGAACATGTTGGCTTGCAGGCTGTAGCTTCTATAAACGCCTTGATTTAGCTGGCACTGCTAAGTATGAGTTGATGAACACGTAAACATCCAACAAAGTCTTTGTGTATATATAGACTCCGTTCATAAAAGACAAAATAGTCATCGATTAACCTACCTGTGTCCTTTCATCTCATGGTTGATTTAATCTATCTATTTTTTGTGAACAGAATCTATTTCGAATTCTTTCATAAATAAAATAGGGAATCCTAGGATAGTGTAATGAAGTGCTGCAGAGAACTGACCAAACTTGGTGGCCAGTGCTTTTTGTCTCTGACATACGAGAGGTCTGAAAAATGTGGATCAAGCAGGGTAGCAATGGTGAACTGGTTTTCAGCAAGTAAAGGGGCATGCTTATCTGTGTACAAGACTGCAGCAAGAGCTGCATGAACTTCTGGTTTTGAGAAACAAAATAACGTATTAGAGAAAGGTGAAAATTTCTTTCTGTAATACATCATGATTCAACAACGCTGAAGCAATGAAGATATCTGTTTACCTGGATAGCCTTTTAGAGATATTGAAACATCTTCCATCTCTGCTATTGCTTCTTCTCTGTCACCAACCTCATACAGCACAAGTGCTCTTCCTACCCTGGCATAGTCTGACAATGCAAAGTCTTTGTAGTTTTCAATAACCTATGAACAAGTGCATATTTATTTATATATTCTTGAGTACAGATCACCAAGAAAATCAAAACAAAAATTTGGATGATAAACTCAATGACAATTGACGCAAGAAAATATAGGAATGTTAAGTCTTGTCAATCATGTTACTTGGGTTTGGCGCTACGCATCAAAATTTATTTCTTTCAGGAAATATAAAGATAGTCATCTCTCATCTGCATAAGTTTAGGGATTGCAATAAACTAGAATACTTCTGTGTATTTGTATGGAGTTCAAAATAAGTTGCACTAATTATGGCTCACGAACAGTGTATCTTTCTTCGTTTCAACGACTTCTATAAGTATATTGATATTGATGATTGGGTTGCTGACCAATTTTCCCTAGGCACTGTATTAATAAACTCATTCATGCTCAACAGGAGGAAAAATTTTAATACAAAGACCATTACATCCCCTATATAAATAAAAACATGGTTACTTTAGCTTTTCAGAAAATGAAGCTATAACTAGCCTAAATATGGATAAAAGAAACCTGACAAGTCACCTAAGTGTGTACCTAAAATGAAACTGACATTTCCGCATTCAACACATCTTAGTCAAAGATAACACCATCAACTGAACACCATATTCATGTACAGATAAGAATGTGAAGACATGTTAAACAAATAAAAAAGAGTAATTACCCCATTTAGTCATTAAAAAGCATAACTCCTTAAACTCTAGTCTAGCTCCATGATTCGGATACTAAAGAATTTGCAACGTGCTTGACCAAATTGTGTACTTACCCGTAATGTGTGTGTGTGTGTGTGTGTGTGTGTGTGTTTGTTAGTACTTAGTAGTTAGTGCTACAAGCAACAAAACTTGAACGTTTTACAAAAGGAAGAAAGATTGAAAAGCAAAGGAACGGGCAATCCCACAAGAAATTTAAGAATTATTTTTAAAATTTTGTGGTCACCCAAATTGATTAGAAAATCAAGAATCGCTGCTCCGACATGAACAGCCTATCAAATGAAGTCATAAAATAGCAAAAAGTAATGAAGTATTATATTACCTTAGAGAAGTAGGAAAGAGCGCCATTAAAGTCACCCTGAGCCTGCAATTCCCTTCCCTTCTCCAACAGCTCCACAGCTTCTGAAACTCTCTGTGAGATTACAGCACTCGCATCCCGTTCAATCGGAGTGACAGGGTCATATTGATCGGCAGCATAGGAAGGCCCAGACTGAAATTTATGAGGAAGTAGAAGGAAACCAGAGAGTGGAAGAGAGAAGAGAAGCAAACGTCTGTTGGGGAATTGGCGTCTAGAATTGGGACTATGGCAATTCTGAATCATGAATTTGGGGTTTCGTCGAAGGAGAGGAGAGGGAAGATAAGTAATGTGTGGCGCTTTGCAGGACGCGCCCATAGTCAGGTTGTGTGTTTGGAAATGGGAACCAAAAACTAAGAGGATTCACTTTGCAGCCAAAATTTAAGTTCCCAGAGATGAGGCTTTGGCTAGGTGATATTGATATTTTATTTATTTTTGTATTTTATTTGTTTTCAGATATTTCTGTTCGGGAGATATTTGGTACTCCGCTATCCTAACTCCTCACATGTTATCTAAGGATGCCAAATTCGCAACTTTTAAGTCAAATAAGCTGTAGCTCATAAGAATTTATTTTTATTAATACATAATTATTAAAAATAGATAATTAAATAATTAAAATATAAAATATAAAAAATAAACACGATTTCATTTAAATATATTTTAAATATAAATCATTAAAATTAAATCTATCATTATTACATTATCATATTCAATATAAAAATTTTAATATAGGACAACTTATTTTTTATATTTCTTGCTTTCCTTTTTAATTAATATCAGTCTTTGCTTGCCGTTTTCTTTGTTTTTTTTAAACCAAGTCCTATCACTTAACTCGATAAAAAATTGATAAATGTATTAAATTTAATTAAATTTACATCTATTTTAAATTTATAAATAAAACATAATTTTATAAGTTAAACATGTAAAAACAATAAATTTAATAAGTTAACTCATGAGTTTAACTAACTAAATTTATATTTCACCTGAATTTATAAACAAATTAACATAATTTTATAAATTATAAATGCCAAAACGATATTAACGTGTGAACTTTACAATACATGTAATAAATTAAGTATAAAAAAAGATATTGCCGCAATACATTATACATAGAGAGAGAGATTTATTGTTTCAATTTTATGTTTATCAAAGCCAATCTCTTTCAAATTTTGTAAGTCATATTTAAAAGTAAGTAAAAAAGTGATATATTAATATCTAAATCTAAATTGAAAAAATAATTTCCATTAATTTAGTGAGTTGAAAAACCTCTGATATTAATTGAATTATTTTATTTTAAGTTAAAGCCAAAAAATAATGGGTTTTTGTCCTCAATTTTACAATATTAAAACTAAATTGATAAAAATAAAATAATGAATTTTTTGTTATTAAATCAACTAAATATACCACATAAATTACATGAAATATGATGATTTTTTTCACTATTTACAACTTGAAAATAGCTTGAATATTTATGAATTTGATATTTTGATGATAATATTTATCGATTGATATTAACATTGATTATGATACTTCCGTAAAGCTATAAAAAGGCATAAAACAATCCTTATCATATTTCTGGGAATGATTAAAAGAAAAGATGTTGAAATGTGAATGACGACTTGTGCAGCCGCTAAACACTGAATAAACGTGTTAAGAATCCGATTCTGATGACGTGGAGTGCAAAAACATCAACAACAATTGCTAGTGGCTCCAGCAGGTTGAGGAGGCTTGTCATTAAAAATGTTCTTTTTAAGCCCCTTTGAACCCTGGGCTAAGAGGCTAGGCGTGTCCAGAATCTGCAACAACATCGACAAGCGATACCACTTTAAGAATCGTTTCTATTATTATTCAGCTATCGTTCCTTACAAGAAGAATTTTAATGCATGCTCGCAAGCTCCAAAGCAGCCATTTCCTTTCAAATTTTTCCCCCCCTTTAATGCCAGCTCCTTTCTAAATTTGACACTGAAGTATATCGTGCATACGAAATGTATGTGGTATTTCAATAGAAGCCTAAAATGTGCTAAGAAATATGTAACTTACCTTCAAGACAAGTTCTTCAAAACACTGCTGCACATTGATTCGAGTTTTAGCACTGCATTCAATGAATAAGCATCCGTATTCCCGGGCAAAGTCTATTCCCTCTTTCTTAGATACAACTCTATCACCCTCCTGAAAAACCATCATCACCCACTTTCACATTTTAATCCTATTATGGAATGCAACAAAATATCAAAATATTACAACTTATTAGTTAGAAAAGAAACAACTATGGAACTCAACAAGACCTAGTGGATGTGTGTGAGAAGAAAAATCCAACAGATCTTCCTTGTTTTTTTTTTTGGCCTCTAATTCAGATGATAGTTTGTCTTCTCAGTCTTTCACACAGCCCCCAATCCCGTTTTAGTAAGTATCCCCAACACTTGTGTATAAGTATTCTGATCTCATTCTGATAGACTCTACTTTGCTGGAAAAACCTACAAGAGGAAATACAAGAAAATACCAAAAAGGGAAAGCATCTTTCTGAGGGACAGAACGTTGACCTTGCTCTTTGTGCTATTTAGGAGAAAGCTATACAGACTTAAGTGTTGACTCTACGGGGCGTTTAGGTCTGTTTCAGCAGAAGGTGATGTTGGGGACTGCGAGGTACTTTTGGAGTTTATAGTAGTCGTCTGTGTCCTTTGAGGGTGAAGCCATATTTTGTATTTTGGTTAGAGGAGAGACAGGCTCTCGAAAATCAGAGGACATGCTTGATTAGCATTGCAGTGTTCTGGTTCCTTAGTTGCTGTTTGAGTTTTTTTTTTTTTTTTATTGTAGCAGGGAATAGGGATTGTTCTGAATCAGTGAAGTGCCTTGTAACACTAATTTGTCTTTTGGAATCATTAATATCAAACCTCAGCATCTCAAGAATGATTACCATGAAAGCAATGACATTTGAAGAAGCTGAAGAGGACTAGTGCAGCTGAAGAGGCATCTGAGAAACTCAAGAATGCCATGACAACTCTTCCACTGTTGGCATTACCAGATTTCTCCATTCTCTTTGAACTAGAAACCGATGCTTCAGGGACTAGTGTGGGGGCAGTGTTGATACAAGGAGGTAAACCTGTGGCTTATTTTAGCGAGAAACTTTCTAACAAGGCTCAACAATGCTCAATTTATGAGAGGGAATATAGCCATGGCAGTGAAGAAGTAGCATCACTACCTATGGGGGCTCAAATTTATCATCTAGACAGATCAAAAAGCCCTGCAATACTTGCTAAAACAGAGAATTATTGAGGAAGATCAGCAACATTGCGTTTCCAAATTGATCGGATACAAATTTGAGATAGCGTACAAGCCGAGCGAGGAGTGTGAGGCTATCAATGCGCTTTCAAGGCAAGAGAATGGCCTAGAGATGTACGGGTTTTCTCTGTGGCAATATGATGATGTTGAGGATTCAGAAAATGAGGTGTTGGCTGGCCCTAAATTGATGCAGCAATTAATAGACTGTTGGAGGTCATTTGGGTTATTAGAGAACTTACAAGAGGCTTGCTAATGTGGTGTATCAGGAGGGTATGAAGAAGGATATTCAACAATATGTCGCTCAATGTGATATTTGCCAAATATATATATATATATATATCAAGCATTGTCCAGGCTATTACAACCTCTCCCTGTTCCTCAACAAATATGGGAGGATATTATCATAGATTTCATCACCGAACTTCCAAAAGCCAAGTGATATGACACTATCATGGTTGTTGAGGATAGACTCACCAAGCATGCTCATTTTTTGGCCCTCTCACACCCTTTACAACCCAAGACGTTGCTGCCAAATTTATTAATGAGATTGTCAAGTAGCATGGTTTTCCAAAAACCATTGTTTCTGACACGGAGTTTTTGCAAGTCAGTTTTGGAAGGAGTTATTCAACAGGGCGGGTATTGAACTCCACCTTAGTTCAGCCTACCATCCAGAAACAGACAATCAAACTGAGGTGCTGAAAAGGAGGCTTGAAACCTACTTGCGTTGCTTCACTAGTGAAAACCCCATTCAATGGGTCCAGTGGTTGTCTTGGGCAGAGTATTGGTATAACACCTCACACCATAGTGCATCAGGAATGACACCTTTCAGGGCTGTATATGGGCAATATCCACCTGTTTTTTGCGAACTCAGTGACATACCATCAGCAACTGAGGCTGTTTATGAGCAAATTCAGACCCGGAATCACATAATTACAGTTTTGAAGGAAAACCTCAATTTGGCTCAACAGAGAATGAAGGAGCAATCTGATAAGCATAGGCATAATGTGCAACTAGAGTTGGGTAACATGGTATATGTGAAGATCAGACCTTACAGATTGAAGACTTTGGCTAACAAGCTCAATGAAAAGCTCAGCCCATGCTTTTATGGACCATTTAAAGTTATCAAAAGGATTGGTAGGGTGGCATACAAGCTGGAACTCCCACCTACAGCTCGAATTCACCCTGTTTTTCCCATTTCTCACCTCAAAAAATCAGTTTCCTCAACAGCCGTGACTTCTACCATTCTGTGTGCTCTCTCCACTGAATAGGAGTTGCAAGCTCAGCCTCAAGACATTTATTGAGTTCACAAGCTCATGAATGGCCAGCTGGAAGTTTTAGTCAAGTGGAAGGATTTACCGGACTTTGAGAATTCATGGGAAGATGCTGATGTTATAGCTAAATAATTCCTTGATTTTCCCCTTGAGGACAAGGTGAAGCTTCTAGGGGAGGGTAATGATAGACTCTATTTTTCTGGAAAAACCTACAAGAGGAAATATAAGAAAATACAAGAAATGGGAAAGCATCTTTCTGAGGGGTAGTACGTTGACCTTGCTCTTTTTACTGTTTAGGAGAAAGCTATAGACTTAGTGTTGACTCTAGGGGGGATTTAGGTCTGTCTTGGCAGAAAGTGATGTTGGGGACTGTGCGAGGTGCTTTTGGGGTTTATAGTAGTTGTCAGTGTCCTTTTGAGGGTGAAGCCATATTTTGTATTTTGGTTAGAGGAGAGACAGGCTCTCGAAAACCAAAGGGCATGCTTGATTAGCATTGCAGTGTTCTGGTTCCTTAGTTGCTGTCTAAGTTTCTTTTTTCTTTTTTTTTTTAAGAAAAAAAATTGTAGCAGGAAATCAGGACTGCTCTGAATCAGTGAAGTGCCTTGTAACACTGATTTAGTCTTTTGAAATCATTAATATCAAACCTCAGCATTTCCCTTAAAAGAGAAGAAAATAAAGTGTTGACATATCCCGATTAGCAGACGTATGTATGAAGAAGAGAGAAGTCTTACACTTTTACTCGAGGTCAACCGTAAACCACATTAGAAGTGTTGTTCAATTTGTTAGTTGGAAGGTTATCATATTAACATTCATGATTAATAGCTAATGTAATTATGCTTTAGCTTTATAACTTTTTACTGTACCTTTAATAACTTTTGTCTTAATATCCCCAAAAGAAAGGGAAAAAAAAAAAAGAGCTAATGTACTATCTCTCTACAAGCATCCAAAACGTGCATGCTTCTTGGAGAAAACTGGAAAAATTGAATGTCAGGAGATCTGCTCCCACCTTTATTCTCCTAGTCAGTTTTAGATTTGCCTGCTTCTAATGATACTCCACAGTTCTACGCTTCAAATATTCCTAATAATTTGCTTAACTATGAATCCATGGTCACCATAAATTTAGAATTTGGAAAACAGCTGAAATGGAAGACTGGGCCTTAAGTCAGAGAAGAATGACAGGCTTTCCTCCTAATCAAATATCTGGACTTCATTGGATAAAACAAAGAAAGGAGGTAAATAAAATTCAAAAAAGGAAAAAGAAGAAGGGAACGCTTGTGTTTGTAAGCCTTTCTAAGAGATACCTTATCTACTTTATTCCCAACAAGCATCTTGATGCAATCCTGATTTGTTGAATAGAGATCTATTTCCTTTGCCCATATTTCAGATAGATTCGTAAATGTCTCTCGTCGAGTGACATCATAAACTGCATCAGTAAAAGGAATAAAATGTAAAGATTAGCAGCAAAACGCAAAACTGAAATTCCAGTATAAATCTACAGGGCAAAAAATACTTCCTGTAACCCATGACAATCTAAACTATTGCATCTATCAAATATCCATCATCCACAATGAACCCAACCAGCATCTTACATCTTAGTAAGAATTCGTCTGATCATAAACTTGTCATGAATCAAGGCGATAAACTTTTTTTAACAAGCCAAACTTGTGTTTCCGATAATGCAAGTGTTTAACATGTAGTGAAGTTGTTTCAAGGACATGAATAATTTAAATTTTTCAATATGATCTACTTCAAGTAAAACTCAAAATATATGAAACACAATTAAATTCCCACCCCAGTAAAACATATATTATGCAAGATAATATATCCCAAAACCCAAACACCAGAACTAAATCCTAATTTACTGACAAGTAAAAAAATTACCCCAAGCTTCCATTTATAAATCCTTATTCCTGGATGAAAATTACACCATAAGTTCAGACGATTAACAAAATTTTCTTCTTTTCATACCGCAGTAGTTCTAATTCTGGCCATTAAAAGCACAAACGTAACAAGAATATGTTGATAGCATTTTTATCAAGAGAACACAGCCTAAAATAGGTTTCTGTACATAAAATGTAATAAAATTACAAAATCCAGTCAATAATATTTTGTATATAGGGAGGGTTAAAAAACTAGAGAGAAGAAACTTGCCCATGATGATCCCCTGTGCCCCTCGGTAGTAAGAGCTTGTTAGTGTTCTGAATCTCTCTTGACCAGCTGTATCATTAGATAAGAAAAATAATTACATATGTTACAATAACTTCAACAATCAAAATATATTATCCATGATCATTTGAGCACAATATCAGCAATCTTATGGAAGGATTTCTTTGAAGAAAAATGAAAAGTATGGTATGAGACATTAGGAAATAGAGTACTAATAAAATAATAGCTAATACCTGTATCCCAAATGGCAAGCTTCAACCTTTTCCCACCCAAAGTGACATGCTTGACCTTAAAATCAACACCTACATGGTGATAACACATAAGAAAGCAGATGAAATTCTGAAGGACCAATAAAATACAAATCTAAGGTACAACCCCATAGTATGAATATGCATTGGGTTGGATAATGGTACCGATTGTGGGAGTGAGATCTTCAAAGGTACCAACAGTAAAACTCAGGAGCAAACTACTCTTCCCAACCCCTGAGTCCCCAATCATCAACAACTTAAACAGATAATCGAATTCGGACTGATCCGAAGTCGAATCCATCACACTTCACCTTCGAACACCAAATCACCAATAACTGAAACAATCAAACAGAAGCAATAGCAATAGACATGCGTAAAATTACAACGTCAAACATCCACCTGCTGGAAGATGCTGCGAGAAGTAATACCAAAATAAAAACCTCACAAGAAATCCTATTTCTGCGATCACCCAGGTGACAGGCAAAAAGAAATACAACGATCGTAGAATATTAACTTCACTTTTCTTAGAAAATTATTTCCTATTTATCAAATAAGTTTCAACATAAATTATTCAAGAGAAATAGGCTCAGTCATGCATAACCCCAAAACGAAAAACATAGAGATGGCAATTTCTGTACTTTTTTTTTTTTTGGTCCAAAGGATTTCTGTAATCTGTAGTTATGTACCTTAAAGATGAAAGAAAGACAGCAGTAGGGAATTCAGGAATGAAAGGTGAGAGAAAGAAAAAAAACTAACAGCATCAGACGGAGCCACTTCCGATTTACGGCCTCAATTTTCCTTGACGCCGCGCCTAATAAAAGTCACTCCAGTTCTTTTCTTAATTTAAGATCACAGGAGAATGACAAAAAAATTCCTATAAAATTTAGAAATCTCAGATTAGGACATCCAAAGGACCTAATCACTCTGAAGCCTCAAAGACCTTTTTTTTTTTTTTGGAACGAAACCTCAAAGAACTTTTTTGGAATTAATTTCTTCCACAAAATTACTTTACTAACCCTCAGTTCAACTCCCTCTCGTCCTTCTCCCACTTCTCTCTCTGAAGCCAACGACAGCTGGATCCGGATCCTTTTAGAATCGTTTTCCCTCAACGTGGCTGAACGCCTCAATCTTAGCCTTTCAATCCGATCCAATGTCCCATGCATTATTTTATGTTAAAATAATTTAATTTTAAAAAATAATTCTTTTTTTAAATACATTTTCATAATAATAGTGTCAAAAAAAATTTCATTTTTAATTTTCAAAATTTATTCTAAAAATTATTCTTCATGTTTTTGCAAAAGTCCTACTATCTCACTTATTCAAACACTGACATGACCTATTTATTAAAAGTCCATTTAAAAGATCTAGCAAATAAGCTAGGTTGTAAGTAGAGTCAATAATTTGAGCTGAACTTGACAGGCTTACCTGAATTCACCCAAAAAAAGTTAGGATTAGGTTTAGAAAAATTATGATACTTTTATGTTCGGACCTATTTGGGCTTGAGAAAATTCGGGCAAGCCCAATTGAATTCAGGCTTGGCCCGAATACTCGAATAAGTTTTTTATTTTTATAAAATATATATAAAATAATAAATATTAATAAATTATTTAAGTTTTAAGTCATTTTATATTAAAATATCATATATTTGAGTCTTATATATCATTTAAGTATCAAAAATATATTTTTATATTTTTTGTGAATAAAATAATTAATTTTAAAGTAAAAATTTTAATTGAAAATGATTTTAAAAATAAAATTCAGATATTCAGGCCCCTGAAGCCTGAATGAATTCGGGTCGAACTTAGCTATTCAGGCTTTTTGAGGAGTCAAGCCTGTTCAGGTCGAGTTTATTGGGGCTGAGCCCGAATAAACCTGGCCCGCCCAAATTCTCAACTTTAGTTGTAAGTCGCTATAGTCAAACTTATTCAAATTTTTACTTGACTCATTTAAGTAGGACCTATAATCTGATTTATTCAAACTCTGGCCTAACTTATATAATAAAAATTTGTTTAAAAATTTTAAAGGAAATATTTTTAGAATAAGTTTTGAAAATGAAAATTGATTAAAAAAAAATCAGTTCAAAGCCCTTATGATTAATCAATTGATTTTTTACGCATAAATAAATAGATATAAAGATATGAGACACCCTAATACAAAATCCATTATACACATGCGGTTTATTAGGTTAAAATCTATTATAAATTCATATTATAATAAACAACAACAACGAGATTAAGGAATAGATTTAAAAAAGAAACTTATTAAATTACTTTAACAGCAGCAATCTAAATTTGTATTTTTAATTTCTCAAATCAATATCAATAATTATAAAAAAATATCTCACAACTTGCTTAGTCAAATTGAATATTATATAACAATGCAAAATTAAATAAAGTAAAAATAAACAAAAATATAAACAAATAAATAATAAAAATAATATAATAATTAATATATATACATATAATATTAGGACAGGATGGGACATGAGAAGGGCATCTCGAGTCCCAACCTAAATCCTTTTTTTATATCTTATTTTGCAAACATTTAATCTTGATTTTTTTCAAGTTAGGACAAACATGTCCTGACATAACCGAGATAGGTATAAGCCAACCAAAATTGGTACAATCTTAAACACTCTCAAGGACCAGTGAGCAAGTTAGATTGAGGTTAGAAAGGTAATCTTGTAAAAAAATAATTCCAAAAGTTCCCTAATACTTTAGGGTGTTTAGGACATTTCAAGGTCGCATTTTATGGAAATTTTTCTGTCATTGTCCCTGAAATCACTCCAATCAAACTTATTTCGATACTTTAGGAGGCATGACAAAAAATAAATAAATAATACTCGTTAAAATTACTATAAAGTATTTTTTAATTAACTTTAATTGTAAGAAATTTATTGATATTATTAAAAATTATATATTCTTTTTTTCCTTATCTCACTCTCCTCATTAAAAAATATAATATATTTTTGAGGAGTTTGATATTAAAAAATATTAGGGCTTTTCTTGTCTTGCTCTCCAAATTGTTTTGGAAACAATTTTCTGTTTTTCAAAATAAAAAAACAAAAAATATACATATTTAACAATGTGTTTTTAGAAAATGTTTTGGAGAACAAGGAAACCAAATACTGTTCTAAATAATAAAAAAATGAAAACATGTTTTAGGTACTATGAAAAATAAAAAAATCATAATATGTTATACAAAATAAAAGTTCTAAGAACAATTAAAAAAACAATTTCAATCAAACCCCAAAGCATCTTTACTGTTTCAATTGTCAAGTTGTAATTAATTTTCTTTTCCAAAAATTCTGTCAAAATAAATATAGTATTCATGGTTATTATTAATAATTAGTATGGTCTTATTTTTAAAAATATTTAAGTGATGATTGTGAATAACTTATTTATCTTAGTACCATAATTAGCAAATCTCTGCCCATTAAATCAGAACAATTATTAAATAAATGGATGGGATTAGATATGGATAGATGCATTGAGAGAGAATATAAAAAAAATTTAAATTCCTATTAAATAAGAGTAAATATAGAAAGAATGTATTATTTTGAAGACAAATTAACTAATTTATTAAGGTGAGATTTGATTAAAAATACATACCTTATGTTTTAAAATAAAGGGAGCTTTTAATAAGAAATAAATATGAAAATCTTATTAATTTTAATTATTTATTATGGATATTTTTAAAAATATCATTAATTACTTGTAAAAAATGTTTTGTACTTTTAATTATGATATCTCTCGCAAAATACATTATAACTTTAAGCTGGAAGAGTATTAATTAAAAAAAACTAAAATATATAAAACTTCTCTAAACTTTAAGATGGTTACACAAAATTCTTTTACTTTTAAAATTTTAAAATTAACCCTCCCTAATCTCTCTCTCTCTCTCTCTCTACACCAAAGACTCCCAAGTGTTATTTTTTAATTACTTTAACAACAAAAGTTGTCATATCATATTAAGAGAAGACCTATAGAAGCTTATAAAATATTTGATGTAAGCTAGTAATAATAGAAAAATATAGATAAAATTTTTTATTAAATCATTATTAGCTTATATTGTATGCCACATAAGTTGCACCAAATTTTTTATTAACACATGACATGGCAACTTCTGTTAATAAAATAATTATGAAACAGCAATAGGGGAGCTATGGTAAAAAATGGGGAGAATGATATTTAAGATTCTCTCAAACAAATTTATAGCAATAAAAGCTCATAAGTTTTGAATTGAATTTTTTTTTTGTAAAATCACGTACCCCTTTTGTTTAAAAATGTAAAATATTTTTTAAGAAGTTAAATGTTTAAAAATATAAGGTATTTTTAATTTTTCAAGGTGTAATTATTACCTTTTTTTGAAAGTGTCTCTATTGATAATGACTTTATATTTATTATAGGATATTTAATAGAAATAAATATAAAAATATAGGGTTGGTTGAAGAGTAGGTAACTACTTTATTGAGAGTAAAACTTGATTAAAAATACCTTATATTTTTCAATGGAGGGAATATAGGTTATTGTTAAAAGCTAAATTTTCACTTATGTTTTTTGTTAGGGCTTTCTTATAAATTGAACAAGTTAAAATTCAGCATTTAACAATAACATACACGTATTTTCATAAGAAAATATCCAATGTAAAATTTATTGGCCCTTATTGTGGTAAATTCCTTTAAAATGGTCTTAAATATCATTTTTCCTAAAAAATAAAAAGTTTTTATAGGTTAATTTCAAACTGTGAGAGGGCAATTTGTGTAACTATCTTAAAGTACCAATGAGTTTTGTATGTTATAACCTAAAAAAATTAACATCCAATACTTGCTTTGTATTACACCTGGTGCATGCAAGAATTTTTCTTTTCTTAAAAAGAGAATATTGATGAAAGACTTCAAAGAAACGTTTGTATTAATGGATTTATATTTAAAATCATGCATTTTAAATTTTACATTTAAAATTCATATATTTAAAATCTTTCGTTTGGTAGTTAAAAAAAATCAAATAAAAAAGAGAGATGAGTTGATATTCGAAACAAAAACAAAAAATAAAAGATAATGACTTTACCTATATTTTTCAATCAATGAGAGATCAAAAAATATAAGAGAATTCTATTAAAAGCATGAATAAAACTAGATATTTGAAGTAATTAGAATTTTAAATGTCTATAATATAAAAAAATTTGAAATTATTAAAAAAAATGTAACAAGAGATTGTGTTTATCCAAACGAGGAATTCAATCCAAATTATATTTAAATTCTCATTAATCTAAATGCACTATAAAAAGAATTTAATAGATGACAAAAATTTTGAATAAGTAAACATTAAGAAATAATAAGTGATGTTATTATTTTAACAAATATATCATCTTCCCATATCCTTGTCAATATTAAATTTTTTTTAGAAATATTCATAGATATCCTCATTTTTTAAAAGAGAAAGGGAAATGAAATTAATGAGAATCATGTATCTCATGTAATCCAATCTCATTTCCGTCTTCGTCTTCACATTCTAGATTCCAAACTCAAGTGCCTCCATTAATAAATACTTTTTTTATTTAAAAATAAAATATTTTTTAAAGAGTTTGATATTTAAAAATGTAAAGCATTTTTAATCTTTCAAAATGTAATCATTACCTTTTTTTTTAAAGTATCCTTATTGATAATGACTTTATATTTATTGTAGAGTATTTAATAGAGATAAATATAAAAAAATATGGTTAATTAAAAAGTAGGTAACTATTTTATTGAAAAGTGAGATTTGGTTAAAAATATTTTATAGTTTTTAAACGAAGGGAGTAACAATTGCAATATACCTATAATTAATTCAAAATGTCCAAATAGAGTGAAGTAAATGTAATAAAGACAACGGATATTATAATTTTTAGTTCCTTAAGTTTATCTTAAT